GCGGACAAGGGAGGCGCAGTTGTAGTATGGCGCACTGACCTTTACATCGCCGAGGCCAGGTGCCAACTCGCTGACACCTCGTCCTACCGCCCTCTCAATCATGACACCACCCCTGACCACCAAAACATCATCACCTCAGGTGACCTCCCACCCACAGCCTCCAACCTCATCGTTCCCCAACCCCGCACTGCCTGTTTCTATCTCCTTCCGAAAATCCATAAACCTGACTGCCCTGGCCAACCCGTTGTCTCTGCCTGCTCCTGCACCACTGAACTTATCTCCACTTATCTCGATTCTGTTTTGTCCCCCCTGGTCCAGGAACTCCCCACCCACGTCCAGGACACAACCCACACCCTCACCTCCTCCAAAACCTCTGAACCCGGGCCCCCAACGCCTCATCTTCACTATTGACATATAATACCTATACACTTGCATTCCCCACGCAGATGGCCTAAAAGCCCTCCGCTTCTTCCTCTCCCGTAGGCCCAACCAGGCCCCCTCCACTGACACCCTTATCCGCCTAACTGAACTCGTCCTTACCCTTAACAACTTCTCCTTCAACTCCTCCCACTTCCTACAGACAAAAGGGGTGGCCATAGGAATCCGCATGGGCCCAAGTGATGCCTACCTTTTTGTAGGATACGTGGAACAGTCCCTCTTCTGCAGCTACACTGGCCCCATCCCCCACCTCTTCCTCCCCTACATCAGTGACTGTATCAGTGCCACCTCATGCTCCCACGAGGAGCTCGAACAGTTCATCAACTTTACTAACGCCTTCCACCCCAATCTCAAGTTCACCTGGACCATCTCTGATACCTCTCTCTCCTTCATGGACCTCTCTGTCTCCATCTCTGGTGACCACCTCGAAACTGATATCTATTTCAAGCTCACCGGCTCCCACAGCTACCGAGACTACACATCCTGTCACCCACCTTCCTGCAAGAATGCAATCCCCTATTCCCAATTCCTCCTCCTCCGCTGCATCTGCTCCCAAGATGAGGCGTTCCACTCCCGGACATCCCAGATGTCCTTGTATTTCAAGGACCGCAATATCCCCCCCTCAGTGGTTGAAAACGCCCTCGACCGCATCTCTTGCATTTCCTGCACCTTAGCCCTCACACCCCCTCCCCACAATAAAAACAAAGACAGAATTCCCCTTGTCCTCACGTATCACCCCATTAACCTCCAGATTCAACGCATCATTCTCCGCCACTTCTGCCACCTGCAATCTGACCCCATTACGAAGGATATATTTCCCTCCCCACCTTTATCCAACTTCTGGAGGGACAGCTCTCTCCGCAACTCCCTCGTCTGCTCCACACTCCCCACTAGCCCCACCACCCCCGGCACCTTTCCCTGCAACCGCAGAAGGTGCTACACCTGCTCCTACACCTCCCCCCTCACCTTCATCCCAGGCCCCAAAAAAACCTTCCACATTAAACAGATGTTCACCTGCACATCCACTAATGTGCTATATTGTATCCGCTGTTCCCGATGTTGCCTCCTCTACATCGGTGAGACCAAGCGGAGGATCAGAGACTGCTTTGTGGAGCACCTACGCTCGGTTCACAACAAACGACAACACCTCCCAGTTGCGAACCATTTCAACTCCCCCTCCCACTCCCTGGATAACATGTTCATCGTGGGCTTCCTCCAGTGTCACAACGATGCCACCTGGAATCTGGAGGAACAGCACCTCATATTCCGCCTTGGAAGCCTACAACCCAACGGTCTTAATGTGGACTTTACGAGCTTCAAAATCTCCCGATCCCTGACCTCATCCCAAGACCAGCACTCCCTCTCATCCCCTCCTCCTTGACCTGTCCATCTTCTCTCCCACCTATCCTCTCCTCCCACCTCACTGACCAATCCCCATCCCCACTTCCTACCTACACTCACCTTTACTAGCTTCATCCTCGTCTCCTTGACCTGTCCGTCTTCTGTCCCACCTATCTGCTCCACTATCTATCTGCTATCACCGCAACCCCCTCTCTATTTATTTCAGAGCCCCCTTCCCATCCTGCATTTCTGAAGAAGGGTCCTGAACCGAAACGTCAGCTTTCCTGCTCCTCTGATGCTGCCTGGCCTGCTGTGTTCCTCCAGCTCCACACTGTGTTATCATTTACTTGTTGTCTGTGCTTTGAACACTTCGACCAATTTCTACGTAAACTCGTTTTACCTCAATACCATACTTATGAAATGAACAAAAGGGTTAGAGTCAACCTGCCATTCAATGCAACTTTGATCAAAAAAGACATTAAGGAGGCCATAGAACTAAAATACCACTCTTTCGCTACAAAACTCCTGATTCTTAAGTTAATTATTCTACCAGTTACAATGTTAAGTCTTTGTCGTAATCCTTATTTAAACTACTACAGATCACACAATGGGGATCAGGTATTACCTGTGCAGTTAACCCTGGCAATGCTGTGTAGCCAGCTCTGATGAACTTGGCAACGGTTGGTCTCACATGTAGTTCTATTCTTTCCTTCTATCTATCTATCTATCTATCTATCTATCTATCTATCTATCTATCT